TCTTTGCCCCCGTGCCATGCTCTGAGCAAACTGTCAAGAACGGGCAGGGACTGCTATTGCTTCATGAGTCACCATCAGAAAAACAACTGGTGGGAAGGATTACCTGTTCCCCCAAGCCGTACCTGACAAGTGCCTCCAACATGCCCGGGTTTGCATGAATCTGCAAAGCCAGAAATTCCAGTGCAGCTTGAATGGCTGGGATGAGCTACTCCACATTTAAATGGGGGAAATAAAAGAGGGCGGTGTGGTGGTTTAGATCTGTTGATGAGAGTCTTGGTGTGCCCAGAATGTTCTTCCAGGCTGCATGCCTGGACCACGACAGTTCTGTAAGAAAGAACGGACAGGAGGAAAGAACTAAATTGACTAATATGGTGGAGTAAATGGCCTTGTAGAAGATGACAGCTCACATACACTTGCTGCTGCCTTATACCGAACCTCAGCAGTGGTCTATCAAGGTCAGTGCTTTCTGCTCTGACTGTAACTGGTCTCCAGGGTCTCAGGATAAGGTTTTCCCCACCACCTACTCACTGAGCCTTTTAGCTGGAGGTGCCAGCCGGCAGTGTTCCCTCTAAGCCAAGTTTGTGTGAGCCAGCTCACAGTTTTTTAGCCTCCGGCTCACCCATTTTCGTCTTAGCTCAGGAAGGAGGCCTCCAGAGCAAACTGATGTATGCCGTAGCCAAATTGCTCGCTCATAACTTTAAAGCCAGTGGCTCGCAAAGTAGACTTTTTACTCACGAGATTCCACAGCTTTAGAGGGAGCATCGCCAGCCGGGGATTGAACCTGAGACCTTGTGCATTCAAAGCAGACGCTCTACGGCTGGACCACAGCTTCACCCCAGATGGTATCCTCCGTAGCCAAGCATATTACTGCCGGATTGTGGTTGTCATTCATACCCCATAACACCTCAGTTCTCATACCCAGGACACTGGCTGATGTAAGGAGGGGGTGCAGATGCGGAAGTTGGCAGAATGCAGTTCTATTAGAGGCCTGCCGTGGCAGCAGTGAGACAAGGAGAAAGAGTGGGATAAAGGCTGGCAAGAGGTCCCGCAACCTGAGACCAACGCCAGCAGTATAAATCGCTCCTTCACAGAGGCAGAACAGGGGCACCGAGGAGGACCCCTTCCTGAGGCAGTATTCAGCATTGCTGAGGGCAGTTCTGTTTAAATCTTTTTATTGTTTTATAAAATACAATACATATGACACATATTGGTTCTAGATTTCTACATATAGCAACTAACATCATTACTAACCATTTGACA